AAGAAGAGGAAAGTGAAGTCCAGACAGCTAAAGGAACTTGCCCATTCAGTTGTGAGGTGGCTAAGGCAGAATTTGAACCCAGACCCCTGTGACTTTAGGGCCTGTTTTCATTCCTCCATCTGCCTTCTAGCTGCGGCTCCTCCTAAGCTACAGCTGGAGGTCTAGGCTCCTCCACTCAATAATCATCTTCCATTCTTGCTAAAAACTGGAGCTCGGGCTCTCCCTGGTGGCGCAACAAGTTAAAGCACCACTTTATGAAGCTTTCTGAAGCCACTGCAACGTTCCATCCCCAGCCAGGGAGCTGACCACTAGGGGTTCCTTGCCAGTGCCTCCTGCTCCTCTGCCTACAGGACCGTCCTGGCACAGGGCGTGGCAGACCTCTCCTGATCTGCCCCCTGCTCCACTCAGCAGTGTACTTTGTCAATCTGCCTGTTCTGCTCCCCACTCTGTCTCTGGTGAATCTTCTCACCCATCACACCTCTGGCCTGTACCCCAGTTCTGTATGCACAAAAAAATAAATCTTTAAAAAAATTTAAAAACTGGAGCTCATCACCCTCAGATAAGCAGGAGCCAGGTGTCATGGAGCAGAGCAAAGCTCAGTCTCCTCCTTTACCTAGTGAGCTTTGCCTTCATTAACATGTCCACAAAGCTCAATGACTGCAATGCCTTCGTACAGTTTACTAAATGTGCCATAAACTACCATGGATGGTCAGAAGAGGAAAGACAGGATTAGGTCTCGGTTGTTTTCCTGATCTGGCCCCAGCACCAGGTTTGCCCTCTGGGGATGCCAAGACCCACATCCTCAGGTTCTGTGGAAGACCGGCCCTCCAAGCTGGAGGCTATGGCTTGCTTGCAAGCCCGGCCTGCACCAAGTCCGGGATGCCAGCCCACCTCTGGACAGCTGTCAGGGAAGCTGTTCTTCCCCATTTCCTGAAGAGTTCTAGCTTAGTGGAGAAATATATTCACCGCCAAATTGCTACCAAGTGGGAGAATAACAAGCACCCAAGCCCCACCGTGACCCTGCCCTGATCCTGGGACTTGGCTGTGGGTACCTGGAGCATGGCCTCAGGCTCGCCACCCTCCTCGATCACGTGCACTCGGGCCCGGCCACTCCGCTCATTGTCCCGGATGTCCTTGGACACCTGCGTGGCCTTCAGTCTCTCGTACCGGTTGCTTTTGGTGCCGCACCACTGATAGATGTCCTGTAAGACAGGGGATGGCATAAGGCAGCGCCCAGGCTGCGTGGACGCCCTGCCCAGGGACGTGGCGAGGAGCCCACACGGTGTGTAAGCTCACCGACTCTCTGCCTGCCCAGGGGATAACCTGGGGCGTGTGCACACGCACACCCAACCCAGCGGGTGCGATTTGTGTGCGCCAGGGGATGTGAGTGTGTGACTTGAATACGTATTTTCCCACAGTTGCACACAGCGTGTGTGTAAAGATGCCTCCTGGCGGGAATGATACCTGGCACAACCGCAGAAAGCTGCTATTTGGCTGCAGCGCTGAGAGCTCAGTGGAGCTAAACCCTCCGGCCCAGCAACCCCCTTGCAGGAATACACCCCACAGAAGTGCCTTCATGTGTCCACCAAGAGCCCTGGGTGCGCGGGTTCAGAGCTGTACCCCTGGAGTGTGTCCAGACCAGAAACCACGCTGAGTGCCCATGAACAGTGGACGAACACATTAGGGCATTTGTATGAGGAGGATGAACCACCTCATACGAAATACAGCGCAGAGATGGATGTCAGCCAAAAAGGAATGGCTCCAGGCACAGAGGAACTAACTCCTCTCTGCTGTTGTGACAGGTCAGCATGATGGTCGCCCTGGGGCTGAAGTCACCAGAAGAAGACAGGAGGAGCCCTGTGGAGGCCAGCCACGTTGAATTCCTGATCCAGGTATTGGTTCCACAGATGAGCCTCCACAGAGCTGCCCGCTCGGGAGTCCACTCTCCCGCGTGCCCAGGACACTTTACTGCAAAGCTCACACTAGAGAAGCGTGTACCCCATCTGCAGGGATGTACACGTGCGTGTGCACGTCAGGGTGGAGTGTGGAGTTGACCACGTCCACGGCTCATCCATCTGCATGAAGCGGCTCATCCATCTGCACAAAGACTCACACATCTGTCAGGAGGGCCTGGTGTGCATCCCACACGCCCCACGCACAGCCATGCTGTGCAACTGCACACACATGTGTGTCCTGGAGCAACACGCCAGGTCCACTCTGCAGGGACTCACCCAGGTGGGCACACGCCTGCCATGTGCTATGCAGAGTGACTGTATGTGAGAAGCACATGAGAGGGGCAAGTGGACACGGGCTACCGAGGCACCCGTGTTCCAGGCCTGCATGCACTGATGCACACGGATGTCCTCACGTGCACTGCCCTGAGCCTCTGCAGGTGGGTCTGGGCATACGGGAGCCCCCTGCGCGGGGGCCTGCCGGCCCTGCCGTGTCTTGGCACAGTGTGTCCACCTCCCAGGAGTCAGGCCTGGCCAGGGGGCCCCCGGGAAAGGGCAGGACTCACATTGCCCAGGTCCAGAATGAAGCAGTCGCCGACGTTGAAGCTGTCCCAGGACACAGGCACCTCGGTGGCGCGGCTCGTGCGCCTCCCTTTGACCTGGAAGAGTCTTTGCACCGACACTTCGTTTGGAACCACGTGCTTGAATCCGGATGCCACGCCTCCTTTCTGTCGGGTGGAGGAGGCAGAGTCAGTCGAGGGCGGCAGTCAGGGGAGCAGTGTGGCGACAGGTAGGTGGAGCTGAGGGGAAGTCCGGCCAGGATACACACGGCCTGTGTGAGCCCCTGCCCTTGCAGTGGGTCTGTGCCCCTCGGTCACCACCATGGGGCCACTCGCTGGATCGGGGAGCAGCAAACTGCTTCCTCAGGGATGAGGAACTCTGGTCCCCCCAGACATTCTCAAAGGAAGGGACGGCCCCTTTCTTGTTCCCTGCTGGTTACACAATGCACATCAGCTTCCAAAGGGCTCAGGGAAGTCCTGTGATGAACAAAGCTGCTGGCCTTGGTTCACACGGCATTTCCTTAGCTTAGCACATCAAGCTCTGCTTTGCTCTACCACATCTTGCCTGTAAAACTCACGATGAAAGTACACACCCAGAGCTTTCCCATCCTGCCAGGTTCACTAGCCAGACTGCTCGGTTCACACCCCACCACCCAGCTCCCACGGCTGTGCCTCTGAGAGGCAGGTATGGGTCAGGGACAGAAGGGGAGCCCAGGCTCACACCTCCCCTGCCCGGCCACTTACAGGGGAGGCCCCTTTCCCTCTCTGAGCCTCAGTCCTCTCCTTCCTGACCTCACCTCCGGCTCCGCTGCTCCCCCCCACCCCCCACCAGCCTCACCAGAGTCCCAGGAGGGGATGACTCACGAATGGGCCAGCTGTCCCGTGAACACCCACCCACAAGCTCACCCACCCCAAGCCCAGGAACGTCAAGTCACAGCCAAGCGGGTCCTTGCGGGGCTGACCATCTTACCCACGGGCACACTAAAGCCCAGGGAAGCGAACCGACGTACTCAAGGTGCTGGGCAAGGAGGGTTAAAGCACTGGCTTCAAACTTTGCGTCCTGCTCCCAGCCTGGGGCTCATCTCCTTGCTCCATGTATCATAGGAAGGGGCCAGGGGCCTCCACTAAGGCCAGAAATGCAGCACCTCAGACAGGGCTCTCTGCCCCCCAACATCACAGCGGGAAGCCAGGTCCGGCCTTTGCAGGTTCCACCAGGACAAGGAGCAGAGGGAGGAGCTGGATGGGGCTCGAGTAAATGATGGAGGGGAGGAGGCCCGTGAGGCACCGTGCCCACGGTAGCCGGCCGGCATCTATATGTGTCTCCACAAGAGGGGCACCACTAACCCCATCTCATAGATGCCAAAGTGGAGCCCAGACAGGGACTTGCCCACGATCTCGCAGCTGCAGAGGATGGCTCTAGGTGTGCCCGGACCCAGAAGGCCCACATTTGCCCCCAACATCAGGTGCCTTAGGACCAAGGTCATTAGGATCACGTCAGGTGGGAGGGAGGAAAAAGCCGCTGTCCACATCAGAGCCCTTCTAGGACAAACGAGGCTTCTGTTGCAAGGGGTTGTAGCGCCCCCCGATGTCAACTCTTGGTACCAGCAGGAGCCTGGTCGAGAACTCCTGTGGCTCCCCGGGCCTCCCAAGGACACACAGGGCTGGCCACCTCTCTGCCACACTCCAAGGGCCCTCAACTGGGGAGCAGGTCAGGGGGCGACTCCAGGCCCACCTTACCCGGCCAGAGAGGCTGCCGCGTACTGAGTCCTTGCTTTATGGACATGAGTACGGACGTCACGGCCAGCCCGAGAGGGGCTCGCCCCACTTCAAGGCAAGGAAACGGAGGTGCCATGTGGCTCAGCCCTATGCCGGGGCCACCGGCCAGTCAGTGGCAATGCTGAGTGTCAGCCCCGACGCTGCCCTTCCCTGAGCCTCGCCCTCACCTGGGAGTCCGTGGGGCCCTGACCCGGGACTTCACTCAGCAGGAGACTTCAGAAAGCGTTCCAAAAGCTGCTGGCAGGACACGCCCTCCGTGTCCCCTGACTTCTCAGGGGATAAAAGGACAGAGAGGCCCTCCATTTTCTCCACACATCTCTGAATAGTTGAATCATTCACTAAAACTTTTTTTGTTATTAAAAAATAGAAACTTTTTTTCAAAGGGAAAGGTTGTTTATATCCTAAATCTCGGTTCTAATAAATGACTTGTGTATGATTTTAAGAATAAAAGAATGCCTGATTTCTAATAATCGTGGAGGTGTATTTCCTGATAAATTACATCCTCTAATCTTCCCAAGCTAGGAACATGAGTCAACAAAAGAGTCACGGCAAATTCTTAGAAGACATTTGTAGGTATACAAAGGTCAGAGGGCAGGATTTTATTTTTTTTACTATAATCTTTGGAATTGACTGAGTTTGCCAAGGACTAATCTCTAGGTGGGCAGAAATTAATATCAATTAATAAAATTCAACAGGGCAAATTGTTTTAAAAACCACATTCCAGGGCCCTTCCTGGTGGCGCAGCGGGTTAAAGCACAGCACTGAGAATCTAAAGCCGCTTCCGCATGAGTTCGATTCCCCCCTGCCCTGGAGGTGATCCACATGGTGTGGCAGACCTCTCCTGACCCGCCCGCTGCTCCCCTCAGCAGTGTACTTCATCAGTCAGCCTGTTCTGCTCCCCACTGTCTCTGGTGAAGCCTCTCACTGCCCCTGAGCCTCTGTCCTGTACCCCAGTTCTGTATGCATAAATAAATAAATCTTAAAAAAAATTCTAAATTAACATGATGACATATATACCTAGATATCACTTATAGGTAGTTCTAGGTCTATATCTGTATATACATAGCTAACATTCATAAAGAGAAAGAAAAATTTAACCATCACTTTGTGTATATCTCGAAGACTAGAATCACAGGGGACATTTACTTTCTATAACCTGTAATTCTGTTTGCTATTTTACAATAAGCATTTATTAATCATGTAGTCAGCTATAAAATTTTACATTACTTTTAAAATGTTAAAGTGCTTCTCAAACAGGGGAAATGTATTACTTGGAGCTGATCCCCTCCATGCTCTGAATTAGGGTTTTTTTTTAATCTAAGTAATGGGAAGGGAGATAAGAAGGGTTCGAGGGGTTCTGTGGATCTCCCGACATATTCCTTAGGTCCAGGGCTCTAGGACTGAGCTCAGGCCAGATTCTTTGGTCACTGGGTTCAGACAATCCAGCCCCAAGGGGTCTCTAGGGTTCTATGTGAGGGCTGAAGAGGAGGAGGAGTGGGAGGACGGAGAAGAGGGGAGGAAGAGGGAGCGGCAGAGTCTGTAAGCACGGTCACCTTTACGGACTTGGGGGTCTTGGAAGAGCTGGCCTGGCTCTCGGACAGCTCTTCCGAGTGGCCCCCGCCCCCTCCCTGCCCTTTCTCACACCCCAAGCACAGCGCTGGCCCCAAGGAGCAGGCTTTCACAGGAACAAGTCTTGCATAACATCTCTGCTCCTTGGGGATCTATAATTGATGAGGGTGCTGGGCGGAGGCCGTGGGCCGAGCTGCCAAGTGCGGGGGCAGCCAGAGGACGCACCGGAGGTAGAAAACAGGAGGGGCCCTGGCCCCCACGCTCCCACTCGAGCCTCGCAGGACTGAAGTCCCCAATCTGGGCCTGGGGCAGAACCCACTCCCTGAAGCAGTCCTCAGCATCTGAGCCAAAATGTCCTGGAATAATCGCTGGACAGCAGGGACGGCTTGCTAAGCCTGCAGATTCCGAGGCCCATCTGCCCTAGGGCCGAAGATGGGGACTCCTGAAGGCAGACTGCGCCCCGACTCTGTGCTGGCCCTTCTCTCCTGGGTTTCAATGCCAGCTCTGCCACTTACTGCGGCCCGAGTGGCTCGGTGGCTGCTGTCTACACAACAGCAACTATGAGCCGACGCTGTGCTCACAGGGCTTGGTAAGCGCTTGCTGAGTGAATGATAAATGGAGAATGTGCGAGGGAGCACGCCCCGCCAGGGCTTCACAGCAGCTGGGGGTGGCCTGGGGACCTCAATCATTCTCACCCTGGCCAAGGACTCTTCTCGTCCTGCTCCAGGAGTTACAAAACTCTACGGCTCTGGTCAGGCCTGGGCCCTCCCTTATTTCTCCTTCCAGGGAGCCAGGCCCCCGAAGGAGCTGGGGGTACAGGTGAACTGGGGGCTTTGGGTAGGCTCCAGGGGACCCAGCCCCACCCCACCTAGTCCAGCACTGAGGGCCATTTCTCAGGACACACTCTGCCCTGCGCTCTCTCTTCACCCAAGCCCTGTGTCTCACCATTCGGCTGACAGAGAGTGCCATGAGGTTTAGAGAGGGCTGATTTATCTCTGCGCACACAGCTAATGAGCAGCACAGACCGAGCTAGAGCCTGCCTAGAGCCCTGCCCAGGAGATGCAGGTTGGTGTCGTGGCAAACATGCTGGGAGCCAGGCCATCTGGGTTCTGGTTTCCGCAGTGGGACTGGCTTGCTGGGTGCCCCTAGGTCAGCTGCTTAAACCTCCCTGTGCCTCAGTTTCCCCAGAGGGACCCAGACCCTGATGTTAAGGCTCATCTGACCATCAGAGCCGGGATCTCCTCCCTATCCTGACCAAAGACAAAGCTGTAGCTTCCCCTCGGCTTCCCGAGATGCCAAGCCCTGTGCAAGGCATTCCCCGACTATCTCTTCACAGATCCTCTCCCCAGGCCTGAAAGGCAGGTACAACTGGCTCTCGCGTGAGCATGCAGGGGAGGGAGGGCAGAGTCACACAACAGACGAGGCCACGGCCTCATGGGGCTCCTTGGCTTTGCACAGCCTCACCTGGCTGGGGACTGCCAGCTGGGCATGCAGGAGGTCTGTGCTGGCCCAGATTGTTCAGAGTTCAAGTTAAGGGGGGTTCCACGTGACCAAAGGACCTTTCCAACCTAACAGGAGGGCCTCTGTTTTCTGGACCTAACAACTAAGGGGTGCAGAAACAGGACTCGGCCTAACCCCAGGGCAAGCAAGAGCTCCTCCCTGCTGGACTGAAGAACACAACCCCAAGAAGTGACGGGCAATGTTTATCTCTCCACGTTAAGATAAGAAACCAGAGGCATCTCTCCAGAGGCTCAGAGGCAATGTCATTTGTCCAAGGTCACGCAGCTAGGAAGGGTCCGGAATTGAACGCCAGGCTGACCAGTTCCAAAGGCTGAGCTCTGGCCTGTCTGCCCACATGACCGCACAGGGCTAAAGGACGGGTGGGCCTCAGGGGCCCTGCCACTGGGCACCCATGCCTGCTGCCGGGACCCACCTTGTACTTGAGGCCAGACTTGAAGTAACCGAGGAAAGTGGTCGACTCGAAGCCCTGGACCTCGCGGTGCTGCACGGCCCGGCCATGCAGGTAGTCGTCCAGCTGCACGGTGAATATGGCGGCCGCCCCGCTCTCATCCTGGCTGCACTCATTGCCTGTGCAACAACAGAGCTGCGTGAGCGCCGCTCCCCAGAGCAGCCCCTGCCCCAGAGGCGTCAGGAGCCCCCAGCACTGCCCTGGCCTGGCTGTAGCAGCCGGGCCCGCCCTTGCCTCTGGAGCCTGACAGTACCCTTCTGTGAAATGGGGTAACGGGTAGCGGGGGCCGGACTCCATGGCCCCCAAGAGTGTCCCCGCTCTGACACATCCCCACCACGCTCCTCCCTGCCTATTCCCGGTACTCACTCTTGCCCCCTACTCTTCCCCCCTGCACCAGGTCAGGCCTGGGAGCTTTGGCTCAATTCACAGATTAGGAAACTGGGGCTCAGGGTGGGCAGGACTTAGAGGCCCACTGCAAAGCTGGGGAGGCCTCCAGGCCTCCATCTCTGAAGGATGAAGTGGAGCACGGTTGGAGCTGGACCAGGGAAACTTTGGAAGGGGTCCCCAGTTTTCAAGTCACCTCCAGTTCTGAGTGCCACAGAAATTCATTTCACCCTCATGGACTCCTAGGAGGTGGGCACCATCTTCAAGGCCACATGCCAGAGGCACTGAGTGACCGACAGGGCTGGGGCTGGAACTGGGCAGGCTGGCTGCCGAGTCTGGGGGCACGAGCCAGGGGCCTGGCACGTGCTCGACACTCAACAGTCACTTAGCTCCCAGGGGTGTATCCACCTCAGGTGTCCCCTCTGTGGGGACTCCCGCTGTGCTTTACGGGGGCTCGGGGGTGCAGGACAGGAGTGGGCAGGAGCGGGCCCAGCCTCACCCAGCCAGTAGTGGAGGTCGTACTGCAGGTTCCCATTCCTCAGCCGCACCGTGTTCAGGATGACATAGGCGTCGCCCGTGAAGAAGTCTCCGTAAAGATTTCGGGGCACTGGCACCAAGTCAAACTTCTCCACACGCCAGATCTGCAGGCCAGGCTCCTTGCCTGCCTTGAGGAACTCGGGGTGCTCCACCACCATGCTGGGCTGGAAGAGACAAGGAGGCGCCTGAGCAGGAGCAGGGGTGTAGTGGGAGACCCTGGGCGCGAGGGAGGGTGGTTTCCAGCACCAAGAGCATCTCACTTGAACCTGACTCTTCCACCCAAGATGAGTCCTCCTTCTATACCCCCTGTCTCGTGTGTGTGAACAAACAGGGCAGAGTTTAGGCTCCAGCCCTGTCCCCAGCCAGCTTCTGCCTCCTAGTCAGCTGCCCAGTGATGGGCAGGCAGGACGGAGGGCTCGACTTCTTCCTGTCTGAGTGCCAGGGAACAGCTGAGGCACAGGGAAGCGACGTGACCTGCCAGGGACCCCTCCACCCTGCTAGGAAATGGCAGAGCAGGAATCACCCCAGGCCCCAAGAACATGCTAGGTCTGGGGTCCTAGTGACTCAGCTTGTTACCTTCCAGCATCCTCAGGGGTTCTTAAAACTAGAAGGGTGCTCAGAGAGTTCAGCACCCAACCCCTCTGGAGATAGGGAAACTGAAGCCCAAAGAAAGAAGGGGGCTGGCCCCAGGTCACTGGGTTTTTGCTCTTTGGAAGTGGGAAAATTTTTCCGTGCATCATCTATGCCCCCAACACACCCCTGGGAGGGTAGATGACTGAGCCCAAGTGACCTCCTGCGCTGTCTGCCTCCTCCCTCCTGCCCGCCAAGACCCCACCCCCAAATTCCATTTATTGGAAAAGGTGGAGAGGATGCAGCCAGGGTCTGCAGGAGCCTGTTGAAGACCAGAGGTTAACGTTGGGGGTGGGGAGGGGGGGCTGTCAGACATGCTGGGAGGAGCGCAGTTAGCTGGAGCTGGAGCTGGAGCTGGGAGGTCACCATGGGCAGGAGGACAAATCTGGGGCAGTCAGAGAAACTGTATGGGGAGAATTCAAGTGGAGGGGTGGAGAAACACATCAAGGAAACTGGCGACAGAGCTCTCAGAGAGGGAAGAACAGATAACAGTAATGATAAGCAGCCAGAGCTGAGTTATTACTACACAGGGGGAGCACACAGGGGAGAGGGAGAGAGAAATCGGTGAGAAAGAGGAATCTGAATTGGCAGAAGCACAATAGGAGAAAGTAGAGATCGGAGACAAAAGCGGGAAGCCAAACAGAAATCCGAAGACATGGAGAGGAAAGAAATCGGGCCAGGGTGACATTAGCCTGTAGGGAGGGAAACAGCCAGGACCCGAGGCTCCCACCCCATCCGCGGAGCCCCAAAGCAGCAAAAGATACTTACAAAGCAACAAAACAGTTTTTCCATTCTAGACCTGAATTACTCCCCTTTTCCTAGCGCTGTATCTGCAAGAACTTACACAATAGAGAGTTACTCCGGGAGCCCCGGGGACCCCGGGCACTCACCCGCGTCTCGGGCGCCTGGCCCCGCGGGGCCCGCTCCTGGTTCGGTCGCGCCGCCGCGG